AGTAACCCGTGGTTTCCTGAGGGGCACCGGCTTTACAGGTGTCGTGTCAATGGGTTTGCGGTAATAGTCTCTCTCATCCACTCATTCACTCGTTCATTAAAATTTAATTTTAAACAAATATTTTAATAGCAATCAGAAGACAAGAGACTTCACTAAATAGCATCGAAAGCGCGAGATCTCAATACAAACCAATCTATTCGCGAGACTATTACCGCAAACCTATTGACACGACACCTGTAAAGCCGGTGCCCCTCAGGAAACCACGGGTTACTCGTACTTATCGAGAGAGTGGGAACTCAAGACTTTATTTGGCGGGAAGGGATTATGGGTCCCCATCAGTAGAAAGCCCTCGACTCCCATACACGAGAGGTCATGTCCACCACCATCACGACCACTACTCTCACAACTACAGAGCACCGGCTGTTACGCCGCGTGAATCAGTTCGCAGTGTCTTCCATAGGGCCCGACCCACGTCACCACCGCCTAGAAGTCATGTCCATCACATCGCACCGGCAGTATTACCCGTCGACACTCACGCCCACGTGCCAGAGGTCAGGGAGAGTATCATTCACGGCTCACCCGTCACCACCAGTCACGTGCACACAGCACCGGCAGTATTACCCATTGACAACCACATTCACTCAGCGCCAGCACCCGTTCCCGTGTTTCCTGCGGTTAGTCCATACGAAGCTCCCATTCCCTTAGCGCCCGCTAGACTTCCAGTTGTGTACTCGGGTAGAGGTATCCCGAGTCCAGTGGCCCGGCTTAGAGAGGCGGCCGCCAGAGCCTCTGCCATCGCCGCCAGAAGGGCTGGTATTAGTGGTGACGGAGTGCGGGCCAGTCGGTCAGTCAAACCAGAGGACAAATGAGGGGTTGGCATCCAATTAATACACCGCTACTCATACTTTATGTCTTCCGAAGTTTTGTAAAAGTAATTATTAAACAATTGTAAAATATCTGGATACAATACTTTTACCAAATCATATTTTATATTTAAGTTTATGTTTACTTAATTTTTTGCATTCTCTGTTTTATATTACAGTAAATACACAACTCTATTGTGAAGTTTGCTGTAAAGTGCAGTATATTATGTAACCAGTTATGCTATGTTTGTCTATACCCATAATTACTGTAATTAATATTTGGTCACAATATTTGTTATCATTATTTGTTATTAGAAATTAAATAAAATCAATTTGAGTTATAAGTGTGTGGGTTTTAATTTAAATTAATTTAACTTATAATATTTATTTTTATATTGAAAACCTTCAAAATAGCAAAAAACAACTTTTGTCATGAATTTACATAATTTTTGGAATCACTTCGAAAATATAAAATTTTTGAACACATTCTCATGAAATCAACCGGAAATCCAATATAGGCTTAGCTATAGTTTTAAAGAATAATTATATTTTAATACTTTTTTGTACTAAAATATGGAAATCATATTTTGTCGCAAATTTTAATCGTATAAAGCGACACAAAATTAAAACTACTGTAATTACAAAAACAACTGAAACTATGAAAAACTTTCTTATGGTGTCTATCCTTACGTTTTACGCGGTCTTAATGATAGCCAGTGCCAGAAGTCCTATCTGTAAGTGATTTCAGTTTTAAAATAATTATTTATTTGTTTGTATCAAATAGACTGTGGAAAGCACGGGCGGCACGTGGAGTGTGTGGACACCTGTCCCAACACGTGTCAGAATCGACATTATTCTGGTCCACGAAAATGTGTGGCAAAGTGTCAGAGCGGGTGTGACTGTAAGCCGGGTTACATCAAACTCAGCGCCAATAGTGTTGAATGCGTTCGACCCGCAAATTGCCCTAGGACACCTTATTAAACACACCCAGGGTTATTTATGTGTTTATTCTAATACCGTAATCACAATATTTACTGTAGATTTGAACATACAATAATACTGTACATTTTATCAAATAAAGTCAATGTATGTATAATAACTAATTGTTTATTACAGTATAATAAAAGATTATTAATAATTATAAAATAAAATATACTTGTTAAAAATATTTATTCAATTTATACAGTACCTAATTTAAAGATAAAATCTTAAAATATTTTTATAACATTAAATTTAATAATAGCCTCGACACAATCAACAAGATCAATTGAAACCCAATCGCATGTAAGTCCGGACGTCTGGAGATTCTGGACGTGTATCCACTCGGGTGTCAAGTTGTGCTCAAATCTAACTCATCTTAAGGTAAAAGGCCTATCGATGTCTGTGTTAAGCTATAGCGAGTCAAATGACTCGTCGTTTCCGAGACTAAACACGTTTTGGTTTAAATACACGGCGAAGACGTCTATAGATTTGGAAGATTTGTCAAAATCTATGTAAAGACTATGAAATCAATTTTTGCGACTATCGATGAGAAGTCCGTTGATATGCTGATGACTGGTTTATCACGAATGGAGGAATTAATTGATATTTGTCACTATATGTCGTCCACTGATATCACTGGCAATCAATTAAAAACCAATTGGTATTAAGTGTCGCAAACTTAAGAGACTGACACTCATCGCTACCATCGATTCCCATGAATTAATGTCTCAATTGATACAAACCATTGACAATCACTTCAAATGATTAGAAATTTTGGAGATAACCGAAAAAGTGTGAATTGAGTTGTGAATGGTTTAGTGGATGCAAACGTCTCACACATCTGTCCTCAAGACATGACATTTGGTGAACACTTTGTGCACAATATTCACATTAATTTACCGCATATTAAGAGCTTGTGGTTTGGGGGGCATTCATATAACGGATGGGAGAATTCATTGTCAAAACTCAAGAAAATACAAACCATTGTATTCTATAAGTGCACTAAAAGTTTCACTCTAAGGGCTATTTATAATTTGATCACCAATAGCCCAAAATTAACACATTTACTGTAAATCATATTAATGTTTGGGATATAAACCTTGCTTGAAATAATTTTAATTATTATTGATTCTTACTGTACTTGTAATTATATATTAACATTTAACACATAAACGTCCACTATGGGTTAGCCTACTGTTTAAATAAAACTATTAAATCCGGTAATTAAAGTTAATTAATTTTTATTTAGAATAGAATTTTACATAAATGTAACAAAAAAATAAATGCCGAGTCCTATGGGTGTCAGCCACTGGATAGATTGGTGAGGTTACCCCTGAGCCCCAACAGTATGAAGGGGTCGAGTGCGGCCAGACAGGCGGCGTGTTGTACTTTATCGGTGAGGTATAACTGCCAGAATATATCGGTTAACCGCTTCAGACTTAGGGTACACTTCTTGCGCGTACACTGAGTACAGGTGAGGGCGTTCCGGATCACATCCTTGATCTCTTGGGCGATGTTTATGACGTCCACGTACTCTATGATATACTGTTGTCCACTCGAGTCCGTAGATATCTCGGTCCAGGTGCTAGTCTCGGTGGCCGGTATGTAAGTGGTGGCCGACTCCGTGTGCGACACACTCCACACCACTAGTATTGACACGATTAGAGAAACGCCGCAAAACTCATACATATCACGCATTTCTAGTCATCTATACTTTGTCTCGTAATTAAAATTACGTTTTGATTTACCGTTATATGATGTAAATTGTGTGAAAACTTGTTATTGAAATCGAGTTTAACAGTAATGACTATGACGTAAATAATTTGGTCCAATATTTGTGTCGTGATTATCACTGATTGAGTCAATAATTAACATATGAATGCAATTGTGGAAAACAATGCTTACCGGTACTAGTGTTACAATGTAATAGCTTTTATTTAAACAGGATTTTAAATCTTTCGATACTAATCAATAAGTTTATGAAATCAATTTAGATAAATTTTTTTTTTTAAAATCCCATTTCTAATTGTCAGCTAAGTAAATCTTATATATAATTAATATTAAACTTAATTTTTATACGATTTAAATTTCAATTTAATTAAATATTATACTTAAGTACAACTAATTATTTAATTTCTATCATTTACTTTAAACATAATTTGCCTCACCTTGAACTTAATCAAAATTTAATTATTAATTATGGCCTTAAATTATTGGACATATCTTGATGACCACACAGATATAACTTTATAGTATTTTAATATGATTAATTTAATTTATATTTACTGTATAGTTGATCTTAAACATTAACATTTTTAACACAAGATTTTTAACTTATATAACAATATTAATGGTTTGTTTTAAATAACTTATTTTATTAATCAGTGGATAGGTAGGAAAAAATAATAAATTAACGGGTAAAGTTTAACTCAATTAATGTCTCCATTTGAGACAAACCAGTTATCAGCATCTGTTGACACCTCTGTCCTAATTGGTCTTGGTTAGTCTACAAATTTAAACCACACATACCGTATATTTTGCCCCAATTAAAAACTATCAAGTGTTTGACAACTTATGATACTTAATTAAATCTCAATTATATTTAGTACAATTTGGGAGCAATCGGACTCAATGAATGTCATCATAATTGTATGATCAGAATACTTAATACAGAAAATGATATTATATTAATATTATGAGATCGCTATTAGATTTATAATTATCTATTTTCAGCTAAACTATTGCATATTTAATTATTTTCACAATTTGCTTTCAACAGAATCTGAAATTATAATTTATGAAATAATAATAAAAAATAATTATTGATTAATAATAAACATAAACTTAAGTAAGTTACTTTTAAGTACACTTAAAACTACATTACTAATTTAGTTTGGAGTAGCACACCGAGTTTGACATTTTTAATGTCACAGTTATTTGATTTGGGAGATAAGCTTAGAAAATATTAACTAATAATCAGATATTTATTGAATTCATTGTTTTAAATTTACAATTAGTATTATTTAGATTATTTTTTATTTATATAAACATTTTATTAATTTCCAAATATTACCGAAAGCAAAATGTTTTAACCTAGATATTAATAACCCCTCCATCCATCACAATATTAGCGCCAGTAATAAAGCCCGCTTCAGGTGAGGCCAGGAATGCCACCCCTTTGGCGATGTCTAGGGATGACCCGGCTCTTCGAAGTGGTATTCGTCCAATCATTGCATTGAAACTTCCGGCAAATTTTTCCGGATCCGCCACCGGATTATTGCTTATAAAGTTTGTTAGCACTGGACCCGGACTTTACCATAAATGTTAGTTATTTAATGTTTAGTAATTATTGAATAAATTAATATTTTTAAATCTCATACTTAATAACATTGACTCTTATTCTTGGACCCAATTCTGTGGCCATAACTTTAGACACGATATCGAGGGCTGCTTTGGACGCTGAATACGAAAGTCCAACAAATGTCTGAAAATAATTTTGATATTACGATACAAAGTAATGTTGAGTTTTAAGTTTCATATATTAATACCGGTTTGAGAGCAGCGATACTCGAAATACTGATAATACTTCCGTTGGTTTTATCCAAATAAGGGACAGACATATGAATTAATTCAATATACGATCTTAGATTGACATTCATAGTCTGATCAAAGTTAGCCAGTATACCGTCGTCCTTAATATTCACATACCAACCCATCCCAGCGTTATTCACCAAAATATCTAATTTTCCAAAGGTTTTGATCGTTTCACTCAAAAGTCGTTTTAAATCCTCACTTTTGGCCACATCTGCCACCACTTCCAACGGCTAAACAAATATTTTTAATAATTATTTTTAACATTTCAATTAATTATACGAAGCAAACAAACCTTCAAATTATTTGGCGATAATTCTTGAGCTTCTTTTGCCACTCGTTTGACTTCAGCGGCTTTCCTACCGGTGACCACAACACTGGCACCCAATCGCGAGAACAGTTTGACAATACCCTCCCCTATGCCAGAACTGGATCCGGTCGTCAAAATCACTTTTCCCGTGAAATTGTAAGGAGTCGTCACTTGTTTGAAGTCATCATTACTTATACCATAAGAGAGGTTTGAATTCAATATTAAGATTAATGCCAATGAGATTAAGCAAAATAATTTCATTTTAATTTAATATATTAAGAATTTATAATTATTGATAAAGCTGAGATTTTTTATAAAGCTGATATTTATTTTCAAGAATCCAATTCCTTATATACCTATAGTTGTCTTAAGGACTATTCGAGTGCAAAAATATAAATATATTTTATTTAACAATATATAATTGTACAAATGTTTATACAATAGAAAATGTTTTCATACTTAAATGAACTTAATATAAACTTAAAGGACATTAATTTATTGAATACAGCAATTGAATGAATTGTTTGAAATTATATGCATTACTGCAACTGAAGGCCAATTTGTGTGCACTTTATAATCATTACAATGTAATGATTACATAATATAAAATTCGTAAACATATTTTACTTTATATATAATAGTAAAATCTATATTTAGTAATTAAGAAAAAATAATTTATTATCAGGATGATTTCGAAATGTATGGCTTTGAATGGATTAGCCCAACGTTTTCCGTTTTAGGGATTAAGAGATGGTAACGGATATTGATTTAAGTGTTAAATAATGACTTAATATTGAAAATTATAAAAATCAATTACTTTTTAATAATTACATAAATTATAAATAAATAAATAATATTAAATACATTAGTTTTCGTAAAATTATAATAAATAAGTTTAAGAAATATGATCATTATTCTCAATAAAAGGTGCCTTTCCCTTTCCTTTTCATTAAGCGTCCGAATTCATCCATACCCTCATCCAAGTCATCATCGGTTGTCACTTCAGATCCTTTAATAGTTTTCATAATTTTCATTAAATTATCAAAATTATGTAATAAGTGAATACCTATTGGCTTATCAGTGCTATCATTGCCAGTCATATCGTAAATACCTTTACCGTATCCGCTGTCCACAGCACCTGTATTGCCATTATTTGCTGTATTTTCAGTCATAGGCTTATTATTATTAGTATTTGTGAACTCATTCCAGGGAATGGTATTTCCGTTTGGGTCCTTCACCACCACACCACCAGCATTAGACCCTGATACACCAGTTGGTATAAAATTGCCATGCTCATCTACACCAATGTCAATCACTGTTCCCGGTGCTAGTATATGAAAATAAAAATAACTTTAATAAATATTTGAAATTATTAAAATATAAACTTATTTGAATTTACATGAATTGAATATTTTACCATTTGGTTGCATGGGTTTCATTGGATTAACATTAGCACCACCACTACCGCCAAATAAACTGGACGCTAAACCCGCACCCATGCCGACGCCCATACCGGTACCCATACCTGTGCCATGTTTACCGTGTTTGCTGTGCCGAGTTTTATGCAGTTTATTCCCACCCCTCCCCCTTTTGTGACCCTTTTCCCACTTCACATCTTTTGATGCCTTCGAGTTTTTCATCTTTTTTAAGTTTAGGCTGCGCTCTGAGAGCTCCGGTATCTCATCGTCGACTATAACATAAAAATAGTTTATAAGTGTTATTATTATTGTTATATTAAATAATAAAATTCAGATTACAAAATGTATTAAAATTTCTACATAAATTCCTATGCTATAAAAATTAACAATAATAATTTTTAATAATAATTCATTAAGAATTATCATAATATGGTATACAAATTATGACAATTAGTAAATAGACTGTACTTACGACATATAATTGAAGTAATAAATACACTTAAGAAAGTTAGATAAATTGAAAGGTATTTTAGCAAATTCATTTTAAGTCAAAAAATTTATTTCTAATATTATTTGTTATTATTTTGTCTCAGAAATTAAAAAGACAAAGAATTTTTATTTTTATAGACACAAACTAGTAATTAATATATTGGTCATATATCTAGGTAATTGTCTCAACACATGTTGGAAAATTGATAAATTTATTCATATATAATATAATCTGGAATTTTAAAAGTAAAATTTTAGGTCAATCCACACTTTTGACTTACTTTTTAATGCAAAGTATATTTTCATAAATAAATTGTAAAAAGTTTTAATTTATTATTTTATAATGACATTAGTTATTGAAGTATCCTAAACTGTATACTATTGATGTAATTAAAAATAACTTCTAAATTACTTTTATAAATATGCATAATTTTTACTAATATAATAATGCTATTTAGATAATTATTTTAATATTTATAATAAAACATATATTGCATTTTAATGTTTATTAATTAATCTTATTTATCATAAGTTATGATTCATAACACAATAATAAGTGGTTTGTTAAACTAGATGAAATATAAAATCATTGTAATTGAGTTAAGATTAATATTAATACTCTATTATCAGTGATAATTTATCACAATTAATTTAGAAAATATAAAATTAGCTCGGTTGTTAGCATAAAGAAAAAATATTATGTTGTATTGCTTGCTGATTTATGATGAACCTGTATTGACATTTTGGAGACATGACTGAAATATACAAAAAGGTAATTAACATATTATACAACCATTGAGTTAAAAATGCAAATTTATATCTATAATACGGTTATATCTTTAATTGATCCCTTAATCGCTTTTCTGGCTGATCGGTCGGTAATTTTGGAGAATCCAGTTCCCATACATTTAGTCATCTAAAATAAAATAACAATTTTACAAATGGCATACAATAACCAAATTAAAAATATGAACAAACCTCAGCTCTGGACTCGGAATTGCATAACTTAGACAACATATTAGATGCGTCTCCCGATAGACAACCTGTCACAATTGTCCGCAACTATTTAAATACAAAACAATTCATTTAGATAATGTAGCCTGGTATATTAAGGTATACCTCATCGGAGGCTTTCATAACACAGGGGGCCACGGATGTCATGAGAGACGATGAATCACTGCTGTCTTTACTGCAAAACTTTTTGATAAGTC